CACCCCACACTCCTGCCACCCGGCCGCCAGCCCACAGCCTTTCTCTCTCCCTGAATCCAGAGTCCTCAGCCGCTCCTTCTGTCACGTCACCATCTCTGCCTCCATCCTTAGTGTCACTACCACCCCGGACAGAATCTCACACTTTGCTTTTCTCCCTTGATGGGTCCAGGGATCTCTGCTTCTGGACTGCAAAATCAGCCACTCCCTTCCTTTTGTTACCAGACCTTTACATTTACCTTTCCAACACTCACTGTCAGACCAGAAAAGCAATCATTCCCTGTTGAACCACAGGAGTCCTATCCCCTTTACCTTTAATCAACAACATCTAGACCGGTTTCAGATGAGCTTCCAGGCAAACACAGACTAGGAAGAAAGTGTGACGAGGTACTTCTGAATATTTAGTCACTGAAACCCTAATGACTAGCAGAGAAACACTGTCAGATATAGTGCTGGAAAATGAGCCCCTCAGGTTGGAAGGCACACAAAATGTGACTGAGGAAGGGCTGCCTCCTCAAAGTTGAGTTGAACGTGATGACATGAATGGAATAAAGCCCATGGGAGAAAAGCCCGCTGGACTTCAAATTTACTGATGGGGTGGAGTACAACTCAAAATGAAGAGAAACAGCTATAAACATCCTTTAATAATCGGAACATGGAATGTACGAAGTATGAATGTAGGAAAATTGAAAGTTGTCAAAAATGAAATGGAACGCATAAACATTTAGTGAGCTGAAGTGGACTGGTAATGACCATTTTGAATCTGACAACCACATGGTTTACTATGCCAGGAATGACAAAATGAAGAGGAATGGTGTTGCATTCATTGTCAGAACATATCCAGATCAGTCATGAGGTACAACATTGTCTGTGATAGGATAATATCCATGCGCCTATGCAGAAGGCCTGTTGAAACTACTATTATTCAAATTAATGCACCCACCACTAAAGCCAGTGAGGATGAAATAGAATAATCCTACCGACTTCTTCAATTTGAAATTGATCAAACATACAATCAAGATATATTGATCATTGCCAGTGATAGGAATACAAAGGTTGGGAGCAAAGGGGAAGCATCAGTAGTTGGAAAATACGGCCTTGGTGATAGAAATGATGCTGGAGAACGCATGATAGAATTCTGAAAAACCAATGATTTGCTCATTTCAAATACCTTCTTTAGACAGCATAACAGACGACTATACACATGGACCTCACCAGATGGAATATACAGAAATCAAACTCACTACTTCTGCAGAAAGAGGTGATGGAAAAGCTCCATATCATGTCAAAACAAGGACAGGGGCAGATTGTGGAACAGACCATCAATTGCTCATATGCAAATTCAAACTGAAGATGAAGAAAATGAAAACAAGTCCACGAGCACCAAAATATGACCTTGAATATATCCCACCTGAATTTAGTGATCATCTGAAGAACAGATACGATACATTAAAAACTAAAGGCCAGAGACCAGAAGAGTCGTGGGATGACATCAAGAATATCACACAGGAAGAAAACAAAAAGTCATTAAGACAAGCAAGAAGGAAAAGGTCAAAATGGATGTCAGAAGAGACATTGAAATTTGATCTTCAGTGTAGAGATGCTAAAGAAAATTGAAGAAATGGAATTTCTGAACAGAAAATTTCAAAGATCAGCTCGAAAAGATAAAGCCAAATATTACAACAAAATGTGCTAAGACCTGGAGTCAGAAAACCAAAAAGGAAGAACACACTCAGCATTTCTCAAGATAAGGGAACTGAAGAAAAAATTCAAGCCTCAACTCTCGTTATTGAAGAATTCTCTAGGCAAATTATTGAATGATACAGAAAGCATCAAGAGAAGATGGAAGGAATACACAGAGTAACTGAACCAAAAGGAAATGGTTGATGTTCAACCATTTCAAGAGGTGGCTTATGATCCAGAACCAATGATACTGAAGGAAGAAGTCTAAGGTGCATTGAAGGAATTGGCAAAGAACAAGGCACCAGGAATTGATGGAATAAAAATTGAATCTTTCAAGAAAGTGAGGCAGCACAGGAGGCACTCACTCATTTCTGCCAAGAAATTTGGAAGACAACTGTCTGGCCAACTGATTGGAAAAGATCCATATTTGTGCCCATTCCAAAGAGAGGTGACCCAACAGTATGCAGAAATCATCGGACAATCTCTTTGATATCCCATGCGAGTAAAGTTTTACTAAAGGTAATATAGAAATGGCTGCAAGCATACATTAACAGAGAACTTCCAGAGGTTCAAGCCAGATTCAGAAGAGGCTGTGGTATGAGAGATATCATTGCTGATGCCCGATGGATCTTGGCTGAAAGCAGAGAATATGAGAAAGATGGTTACCTGTGCTTTATTGACTATGCAAAGATTGTGTGGATCATGACAAGCTATATACAACATTGTGAAGCTTTAATTGTGCTCATGAGGAATCTGTACGTGGACCAGAATTAGTTGTTCGAACAGAACATGGGAACACTGAATGTTCACTTAATTTTCTTTAATAGAAGTGTGCGACAGGGTTGTGTTCTTTCACCATAATTATTCAACCTATATGCTGAGCAAATAATCCTAGAAGCTGGGTTCTGTGAAGAAAAACATGGCATCAGCTTTGGAGGAAGTCTCATTAACAACCTGTGATATGCAGATGATACAACCTTGCTTGCTGAAAATCAAGAAGACTTAAAATATTACTGATGAAGCTCAAAGAGCACAGCCTTTGGTATGGATTGCATCTCAATGTAAAGAAAGCAAAAATTCTCACCACTGAACCAAAAAATAATTCTTATCAATGGAGAAAGGATTGAAGTTGTCAAGTACTTCATTCTTGGATCAGCTATCAACACTCAAGAAAGCAGTAGCCAAGAAATCAAACGACATATTGCATTAGGCAAATCTCTTGCACAAGACCTTTCTCAAGTGTTGAAGAGCAAAGATGTCAGCTTGAGGACTAAGCTACACTTGACCCAAGCCATAGTATTTTCAATAACCTCATATGCATGCGAAAGCTGGACAGTGAATATGGAATCCCATAGAAGAATTGATGCATTTGAGTTATGGTGTTGGAGGAGAATATTGAAAGTACCATGGGCTTCCAAAAGAACAAACAGATCTGTATTGGAAGAAGTTTAGCCGAGTGCTCCTTGGAGTCCATGATGGCCAAACTTGTCTCTCATACTTCAGACATATTGTCAATAGGAACCAGTCTGTGGAGAAGGATATCATGTTTGGTAAGGTGGAGGATCAGAGATAAAGAAGAAGACCCCCAACAAGATAGATTAGCAAACTGGCAGCATGGATGGACTCAAGCGTGGCAACAATAGTGAGGTTGGCCCAGGATTGGGCAGTGTTTCGTTCTGCCGTGTATAAGGTCTCTATGAGTCGGTACTGACTTGATGGCCCCTAACAACAACGACATACTATTAATTGAGTCATCTAATAAGAATATATTACTTTCAAAATAAAACCTTTTGAGGAGCATGGGTGTTTCTATCTAAATTCCTAAATCATGAGTCTTAGGTGCATCTCCTATATTCTTTGTGCTCTTGTTTGTGAAAATTTTAGACTGAAATGGCTCCTTCATAATGCATTTTCAGTCTTCTATTTGATGAGAACTATGGCTATATATCCAGAAAAGTATAATTGAAAGTCTGCATACCCAAAAGAATACAGTGTGTTTTTAAATTATTTGGCATCATTCCATCTTGATAAAGGAATCATTATTGTTGTTAGGTGCTGTTGCGTCAGTTCTGACTCACAGCAGCCCTGTGTGCCTGTCTGGGCCTGTCCCATTGTCCCATTGTCCCATTGTTGCAGCCATCAGCAAGCCATCTCATTGAGGATCGTCCCCTTTCTCCTTCCTTATTTGGTGTATATTTTCGCCTTCTAGTGTCTCTTCATATAAAAGTGTTCTGGGGAGAGGAGAAATGCTAGTGTATTTTCTTTTGAGTTAGATCTGCCCTCATGGTATAATACAGGTTATTATCGCATTGGTGCTTAATGTCTCAAAAGATATAAATTATCAAGTGTTTGCTGTTTACTGGGCACTGTGCTAAATGCTTGATGGTCCTTTTATTTTTTTTATTCTCACAACCTTGTGCAATAGGTTTAATCATTTCTCTTTGGGAGATGGGGAAGTAAGACTTAGCAAGGTTAGACATTGTAAAAATAAGATTTAGAATGTTAGAGCTGCAGAGCTGGGATTTGCAGTGTGCTTTTAACAAACTCTGTCCCATCTCATCACCCAGAAGACAACTCTCAGTGAGGTCCACAAAAACACTTGCTGTGTTTTCCTCACTTTCTTGTTTCTACATTTCTTACTTCCTCATTTTCATAATCTTATGTAGATATGGTTATGGAAGACACAAGAAGCACTCTTGAGTTATTTCTCTGTTATTGTTGTTAAGTGTCATCGAGTTGGTTCCAACTCATAGCCGCCTTATACAGGGTTTCAAGGTGTGGCTGGTGAGTTTTAACTGCTGGCCTTACAGTTCAAACTGACCTTTCTTTGGTTGAGTGCTTATCCTACAGCACAACAAACTTTATATAAGTTGTCTTTCTAGCCCAAGTGGATTCGTCATTAGTTGGGTCCTTCATTGTTGGCTTACATTAAAGTTCTGATCCACTGTATTAATGTTTCTAATGCCATAATCTCCAAAATCAGTGACAACTAAGTGAATAATGTTTTTTAATATAAATTCTGCTCATCTACTGTAACATTTTTTAATTAAAAATGCAGCCAGTTCACTACACATTATACAGGGTCATATCATTGCATGACTTAGTGGGACTCTGGGTATAATTCCCATGACTTCTGCAAATTGAGACTACAGAAAACTTCCAAAACACATAAAACAGAAAAGAGGAAACATACATACCCCTAATAATGTTTTGCTACACATACAGTTTTGATAATAAAAGTGTTTTGTGTTGGTTTTCTCCCCATTGTTGCCTAGACTTTGTTTGTAGTGATGACCTCCCTCTCTTCTTTGTGTTCAAAGGGCAGCCATTCTACAAAAGTGGAAGCTGTGGTCAGAACTCTGATGAGAATCCAGCTCAGAGATCCAGGGGCTAAAGCACTTGTTTTCTCAACGGTATAATCACTGTTTCATCCTCAGAATTAACTCAGACAGGTTTTCTCCCTCCAATAATTTTTGTATCATTTTATATTTAATCATTTATATAAGAGAACTAATTTTTAGTGTTTACCAGAATAGAGCCGATTTAGAATTACTATTAGATATTTACAATTAGGTGATACTTTATATAATTTTATATATTTTATTTAGGAATTTTCTTATTTTATGGCATTCCGATGATTCCATGGTTAAAGCACTTGGTTGCTAGCCAAAAGGTAGCAAGTTGGCACCTACCAACAGCTCCAGAGGAGGAAGGGTGTGTCAGTCTGCTCCTGTGAAGTTGTATTATACTGATAGCCTTAGAAACCGTACAGGGTCACTGTGAGTCAGGCTCAGCTCCAGGTAGTAGGCTCATTATAATGTTAAATATTCATAACCATGAAAGTCTCATTTCACATATAAATAGGATTAAGAAAAAGCAAAGTCAGGTCATCCAGTGAATAAACTCGTTGTAGTTAAGTGCCATTATAGACTCGGTTCCATCTCATAGCGACCCTGCTAGTAAGTACTCAATGCTTTATGTTCTGTTCCGTATGCTTATCCTGATTCAATTCTTAAAGGATTTTGCATTTTTTACCTTTAAGCCATCACTTGACAACAGTACTCCTTTCAGACAAGCCACTGCCATAGAGTCAACTCTAGCTCAGTGGTTCTCCGTAGGGTTTCCAAGGCTGTATATCTTTACAGGAGCAGAAAGCCTCATCTCTCTCCCTTGGAGTGATTGGTAGGTTTGAACTGCTGACCTTGCAGTTAGCAGTCCAGTGCTTATCCTACAATGCCACCAGCGCTTTTCAAAATAGAGCTGCATCATGTTGATACTGCTAGATTTGTTAGTTTTGTGTGTGTTTATTTAATGCTAAATTACCAAAATTATTTTTATTTAGTACCTTTTCAATCTTCTTTATTAAAGCTATATGTAAATACTGGTTTTCTTATTGTTTTCTTTGTTCTAGTGGCAAGATGTACTGGATATTATTTCAAAAGCTCTCACTGACAACAACATGGAATTTGCACAAATCAGTCGTGTTAAGACATTTCAGGTCTGTGAAGATTTAATGTTTGTTGCTTGGAGTAGATTTAGTTACACATTGAAACTTGTCAACTAGCCTGTTTATACCTTTTTTCTCTTTTATCATATAAATCCCCTAAACAGGGTGTTAGTTTCTACTTGATGAATTATAAAGTTAATTTTTATAATCATCACGGTAAAGAAACTAGCTATTTTTTGTCTGTTAAATTATATTGATAGCAACACCAGATTATCTTTCTTTTTTTTTTTTTTTAAGGATCTTCTAATTTGAGGTTCTTTTTTTGAATATAGGCTAAGATTATCTATAACATACCTCTTAAATGGGCAAAAGGCCTTTATGTCCCCTAAATATACTGCATCAGGTGAAACAGCATAAAGTCAAAATTGTTCTCACATCACACTCAGAGCAGTGACAGGTGCACGCTCCAAGGAAGCACAAGGCAAAGAAGATGGGTTGAAAAGTTCAGATTTGTGTCTTTGCTCACGCTCACTCTAATATACTATTTCTTGTTCCCTTTTTCCCTCCAGGCTTATATCGTGTAATTTGCATACATGAGCATTATCTTGTGAATCCACTATGTGTTGTAAAGAAAAATGTCTTTTCTTCATGTGAAATTTGCCATATTATTTTGTTAGTCAACACATTTACATTCCCTAAAATTGATGGCTTTACATTTCATTTTCTTACATCTCAAGATGATCTCAAAACCATAAAACATCCTGAAAGTGAGCTAGAGTATAACCTTCTGTATTTTCCATTAATCATTAAAATGTGCCTTTCTTTTATTTTTAGGAGAATCTTTCAGCATTTAAACATGATCCCCAAATCAATATTTTGCTGCTGCCCCTGCACACAGGTTCTAATGGACTAACTATCATTGAAGCAACTCACGTTCTTTTGGTGGAACCCATATTGAACCCTGCCCATGAGCTTCAGGCCATAGGGCGGGTGCACCGAATCGGACAAACAAAGTAAGAACTAAATTAACATCACTCTTCTTTATTTCAAGCTTCTAAGATCCCACAGAGAGCACAGTGACTCTGTAGGATAAGCACTAGACTGCAAACCACAAGGCTGGCGGTTTGAGCCCACCAGGCATTGCATGGGAGAAAGATGTATTATGTTGTTGTTGTTGTTGTTAAACCACAAGGCTGGCGGTTTGAGCCCACCAGGCATTGCATGGGAGAAAGATGTATTATGTTGTTGTTGTTGTTGTTGTTGTTGTTGTTAGGTGCCATCAAATTGGTTCTGACTCGTACCAGCCTTATGCAATGCAGAACAGTTTTGCACCGTCCTGACAATTGTTGTTCCATGTGAGTCCATTGCTGCTGTTACTCTGTCAGTACATCTCATTGGGAGTCTTGCTCTTTTTCACCGACCTTCCACTTTACCCAGCATGATTGCCTTTCCTGGAGACTAGTCCCTCCTGATGACATGTCCAAAATTCGAGGGACCAAGTCTGGCCATCCTGACTTCTAAAAAGCATTCTGGCTGTACTTCTTCCAACACAGATTTGTTTGTTCTTCTGGCTGTCTATGGTACTTTTAATGTACTTCTCTAACATCCTAATTCTGATTCTTCACTGGTCTTCTTAGTCACTGTCCAATTTTCAGAAGCCCTCTGTTAGCGTAATGGTTATGAATCGGGCTGTAAACCGCAAGGTCAGCAGTTCGAAACTACCAGTGGTTCCACGGGAGAAAGATGAGGCGTTCTGCTCCCGTAAAGATTCATAGCCTCGGAAACCCTGTGCAGGGTCGCTATGAGTCGGAACCGACTCCACGGCACTTAACAACAACTAGGTGATCAAAAAGACCATGGCTTGGTTCAGGTGCACCTTAATCCTCAAACTGACTCTTTGCTCTTGAACACTTTAAAGAGGTATGTTACAGCAGATTTGCCTAATGCAATATGTCATTTAATTTTTTGACTACTGTTTGCATGAGTGTTGACTGTGGATCCAGGCAAGTTGAAGTCTTTGACAACTTCAGTCTTTTCTCCCATTATCATGAATTTATTTATTGGTCTAGTTGTAAGCATTTTTGTTTTCTTCACATTGTGATGAAATCCATACTGAAGGCTATAGTGTTTCATCTTTATCAGTATTTTAAGTCCTCTTCACTTAAAGGTTGTGGCATCTGCCTCTTCCTCTGATTATATTTCATATAATCCAGCTTGTCAGGTTATACGCACAGCTGGCTGGCTGCAGGTGTGCCGTGGATTTGGTTCCGACCCATAGCAACCCTGCATAGGGTTTCTGACGTTGTAAACCTTTACGGGAGCAGAAAGCCTCATCTTTCTCCCACAGAACGTCTGGTAGTTTCGAACTGCTACGAGAGCTCCTTAAATGCACAGCATGCAGATTGAATAAGTTTGGTGAAAGAATACAACCCCAGCACTTAGCTTTCCTGATTTTAAAACACTCACCATTTCCGAGTTCTGTTCTAATAAGTTCATCTTGGCTTATGTACAGGTTCCTTATAAGCACAATTAAGCGTCTGGAGTAGCCATTCTTTGCAATGTTTTCCTTAGTTTGTTATGATCTGCATAGTTGAAGGCCTTTGCATAGCCAAGAAAATACAAGTTAACGGCTTTCTGGTATTCTTTCCTTTCACCCAAGATCCATCTAATGGCAGCACTGCTAGCCCTCATTCCATGTCCTACTGCCATCCTTTGTAATTATCTCCAGCAACATTTTACTTGCTCAGCATCTGTGTCTTAGCCACAGCACACTGCTATTAGCTGGTATGGATGACTGCTGGGAGAAATTTTGCTAGAGCATCAGAGAAAAGAGAGTGAGATCCGAAGAGGTTTTATTTTTTTTCATCAACACAGTAGCCAAAGGGATTTCTAACATAGAATCAAAGTATAAGTGAAGTCATGCCTAAAGGCCATTGATGGCTTCCCATGGTGGCTACATTAAAATGGCCATGTCCTACCAAACCCCACATGACCTGACCCCTGTCCACATCTCCACTTGCATTCCACCCCATTCCGTCACCTACAGAATGCCGCTGCCATGCTGGCTTCTTTCTGCCTTATGGACATGTTAAGCTACGTTCTTTTCCCACTTACTGTCTTAGCATCCTCGTTTGTCTCATTCATGTATCCACTTGTAAACCCACCTCCTCAGGGCATTCATCTGTATCAGAACCATTTTATACATGATGTGTTTGTTGTCCGTCTCTCCCTGTCAAATGTGAGTTCATTGAATTCGAGTTCTTTGATTCACTGCTGAACCCTAACACCTGGATTAGTATCTGGCACAAGTGGGTACCAGCTCACTGATGAGTCTAGCATATAATATGTGAAGTCTGTAACTAATTAGTTTGTAACTAATTTGTTTGAGATATTTGTAAACTCTTAATTGTTATGTGCCTTCTAGACCTACTATTGTGCACAGATTCTTAATTAAAGCAACAATAGAAGAAAGAATGCAAGCAATGTTGAAAACTGCGGAGAGGAGGTGGGTACTATTACTGCAAGTAGCTTCAGAAATGTTTCCTGGTTATATAAGAA